GGGTGACGGTGGTGGTGGTCCAGGGTGACGGTGGTGGTAGTGCCAGGGTGACGGTGGTGGTGGTGCCAGGGTGACGGTGGTGGTAGTGCCAGGGCGACGGTGGTGGTGGTGCCAGGGTGACGGTGGTGGTAGTGCCAGGGTGACGGTGGTGGTGGTACCAGGGTGACGGTGGTGGTGGTCCAGGGTGACGGTGGTGGTGGTGCCAGGGTGACGGTGGTGGTGCCAGGGCGACGGTGGTGGTGGTGTCAGGTTGCCGTGGTGGTGGTGGTGCCAGGGTGACGGTGGTGGTGGATCCAGGGTGACGGTGGTGGTGGTGACAGGACGACGGTGGTTCGTGGTGACAGGACGACGGCGGTGGTGGTGCCAGGGTGACAATGGTGGTGGTGCCAGGGTGACGGTGGTGGTGGTGTCGCGATCCCGCTACCCTTTATACTTGGGGAGTGAAACCTACCCCAAGTTATTAACAAATAAAGGTACAAACAGGGAACACGGCAATAATCATCCCCACAAAAACCTACTCAACTAAATGTACTTGAATAAGTATGAACAAGTTGAAATAAGTGAATCACAAAAGGGAAGATAATTAATAAATTCAATTCATGTTCTAAAGGGAGTAATGACTAGCAAACAAGAATTTAAGGGTATAAGTAATTGTATATTAAAATAAGAGTGATGCCGGAAGGGTGAAAAAACACCGTTAAGGAGTTAGACCAAACGAATATTACTTAACATAACTATATTACACAGACATACAAAATATATACATACAACAATCCCTACAAAATAGTTATTTCCTACCAAACAGGAGATGCTTTACCACCAGGATCCCTTCCTAGGCCTAACTAAATGTGTCACCAATACCTGATACCCCTAGGGCATTGCAGAAGACTGGACAAGGCACTAGACAAGGGTCAAGGCTAGAGAACAAATGGACACGTCTACCATATGCCACGGTTTTTCGCTACTTGGGAAGCGTGGGGGCACGCCGTGGAGCGCGTCTCATATCACGTGATCCAGGACATTTGCTGGATAATTTATATAAGTAATTAATACTACTCTTGAGTTGATTTAACAGAGTAAGACAATGATGCATATTAATAACATACATAAATATACAATTAACCTAAGTGACTAAAACAATAATAATATAATAAGTACAATTAACAAGTTAATAGCTTGTGTGAAATGTAGGCATGAACATATGCCTCACGCTATGCAAGTTCCCGAGCGCTGAGGCACGTGACAGTGGTGCCAGGGTGACGGTGGTGGTGGTGCCAGGGTGACGGTGGTGGTAGTGCCAGGGTGATGGTGGTGGTAGTGCCAGGGCGACGGTGTAGCCAGGGCGACCGTGGTGGTAGAGACGGGAGGTGGTGGTGCCAGGGTTACCGTGGTGGTGGTGGTTGCCAGGGTGACGGTGGGTGGTGGTGCCAGGGTGACGGTGGTGGTGATCCAGGGTGACGGTGGTGGTGGTGCCAGGCCGACGGTGGCTTTGGTGCAGGACGACGGCGGTGGTGGTGCCAGGTGACGGTGGTGGTGGTGCAGGTTGATGAATGGTGGTGGATCCAGGGTGACGGTGGTGGTGGATCCAGGTGACGGTGCGGTGGTGGGTGCCAGGGTGAATGATGGTGGTGGTGCCAGGGTGGCGGTGGTGGTAGTGCCAGGCGACGATGGTGGTGGGATCCAGGTGACGGTGGCGGTGGTGCCAGGGTGACGGTGGTGGCGATCCAGGAGACGGTGGTGGTGGTGCCAGGCGACGGTGGTGGTGGTGCCAGGTGACCGTGGTGGTGGGATCCAGGCAACGGTGGTGGTGCCAGGGTGACGGTGGTGGTGGACGGTGGTGACGGTGGTGGTGGGCCAGGTGACGGTGGTGGTGGTGGTGGTGGTCCAGGGTGACGGTGGTGGTGGTCCAGGGTGACGGTGGTGGTGGTCCAGGTGACGGTGGTGGTGGTGCCAGGTGACGGTGGTGGTGGTGCCGGTGGTGGTGGGGGTGACGGTGAGGGTGTGGTGGTGGTGACGGTGGTGGTGGTGCCAGGTGACGGTGGTGGTGGTGCCAGTGGTGGTGGTGTGTGGTGGTGGTGATCCAGGTGGTGTGGTGACGGTGGTGGTGGTGTTGGGGGTGACGGTGGTGGTGGTGGTGACGGTGATGGTGGGACGTGGTGGTGGTGCCAGGTGACGGTGGTGGTGCCAGGGTGACGGTGGTGGTGGTGCCAGGGTGATGGTGGTAGGACAGGTGGTGGTGAGGGTGGTGGTGGTGGTGCCGGTGGTGGTGGTGGGGTGACGGTGGTGGTGACGGTGGTGCCAGGTGACCGTGGTGGTGATCCAGGTGACGGTGGTGGTGGTGGTGGTGGTGGTGGTGGACGGTGGTGGTGGTGCCAGGGTCACGGTGGTGGTGGTGTAGGGTGACGGTGGTGGTGGATGGTGACGGTGGTGGTGCCAGGGGTGACGGTGGTGCAGAAAAGCCACGTGTGGTGGTGAGACGGTGGTGGTGGTGCCAGGCGACGGGTGGTAGTAAAGTGGTGACGGTGGTGGTGACGCTGGGTGACGGGTGGTGCGAGGGTGACGGTGGTGGTGGTGCCAGGTGACGGGGTGAAACAGGGTGAATGGTGGTGGTGGTGCCAGGTGACGGTGACGGGACGGTGGTGGTACCAGCGTGACGGGTGGTGGCGGTGCGCCAGGGTGACGGTGATGGTGGTGCCAGGGGTGATGGTGGTGGTGGTGGTGGTGTCAGGTGACGGTGGTGCCAGGGTGACGGTGGTGGTGGGACGGTGGTGGTGGGGTGACGGTGGTGGTGGTGCCAGGCGACGGGGGTGGTGGTGGTGGTAGTGCCAGGGTGACGGTGTCCAGGGCGATGGTGGTGGGTGCCAGGGAGACGGTGGTGGTGGTGCCAGGGCGATGGTGGTGAAGCTAGGGTGACGGTGGTGGTGAAACAGGGTGACGGTGGTGGTGGTGGTAGTGCCAGGGTGACGGTGGGGTGGTCCAGGGTGACGGTGGTGGTGGTACGGTGGTGGTGCCAGGACAGACGGGGTGGTGGGGTGGTCCACGGTGGGGTGACGGACGGTGGTGGTGGTCCAGGGTGACGGTGGTGGGTGGTGCCAGGTGATGCCAGGGCGACGGTGGTGGTGGTGCCAGGGTGATGGTGGTGGTGGTGCCAGGGTGACGGGTGGTGGTCCAGGGTGACGGTGGTGGTGGTGCAGGTGACGGTGGTGGTGGTGGTCCAGGGTGACGGTGGTGTGGTGGTGGTGCCAGGGTGACGGTGGTGGTGGGCTCAGGTGACGGTGGTGGTGCCAAGATGGTGGTGTGCCAGGACGGTGGTGGTGGTCCGGTGGTGGTGGTCCAGGGTGACGGTGGTGGGTCCAGGGTGACGGTGGTGGTGGGTCCAGGGTGACGGTGGTGGTGGTGGTGACGGTGGTGGTGCCACGGTGGTGGTGGTGCCAGGTGTGGTGGTGTGCCAGGGTGACAGGGGTGATGGTGGTGGTGGTGGTTGGGGTGATGGTGGATGGTGGTGGTGGCTGGTGGTGCCAGGGTGATGGTGGTGGTGGTGCCAGGGGGTGTGGTGGTGATGGTGATGGTGGTGCCAGGGTGACGGTGGTGGTGCCAGGGGTGACGGGGGCCAGGTGACGGTGGTGGTGGTGCCAGGGTGATGGTGGTGGTGGTGCCAGGGGTGGTGGTGGTGCGGGTGACGCAGGTGGTGGTGCCAGGGTGATGGTGGTGGTGGTGCCAGGGGCGACGGTGGTGGTGTGTGCCAGGGTGACGGTGGTGGTGGTGCCAGGTGATGGTGGTGGTGGTGCCAGGGTGACGGTTGGTGGTGCCAGGGTGATGGTGGTGGTGGCGGTGGGCCAGGGGTGGTGGTGGTGGTGCCAGGTGATGGTGGACGGTGGTGGTGGTGCCAGGGGTGACGGTGGTGGTGGTGCCAGGGCAGGATGGTGGTGGTGGTGGTGCCAGGTTGACGGTGGTGGTGGTGCCAGGCGACGGTGCTGGTGGTGCCAGTGATGGTGGTGGTGGTGGTGGTGCCTGGGTGACGGTGGTGGTGGTGCTGTTACCATGGTGGTGTTGAGGTAACATAGGTAGAACCCAGGCACACCCTCACCATATCTACACTACACGTATACTGTAGGTAAACTGGTCCACCTTCCTCAAAACTGGTAGTCTAGTCGTCAGGGCCACCACAGCATATGCTTTGTATAATATCGCCAAAGAAAAGAATGTAAATAAACTCCCCTTATTGTAGTTCTATAGGTGAAAAAAATAATAAATTTTTGTACTTAATTTCTGAGTTACTTTGTTGTATTAGTGGAGTAGTTTGATTCCGTACGTCTGAGCATTTCATTTGTTAAATCTGATGTCCCTGGATGACAATTTTCCCGCCAAAATTGTCTACACTTCACGAGCATAAAATTTTATTGGCAACTTTATGTGTTTTCTTTCTAAAATATTATATTGTTTTTGTCTTTGAAAGGTTTAGCATTTAGGAAGTTGTATTTCCTGGTGATTACGCACAACAGTTTATTTCACCTGCAGAAGATTAACCCAACCTAACGCTATCAGTGGTGATAGTATAGGTTACGTTAGATTAAGTTAATTTAGCATTAGGTTTAGGTTTAGGTTAGTTTAAATTAGTTGAGGTTAGTTTAGCATTAGGTTAGGTTAGGTTAGGTTAAGTTAGGTTTGGTTAGGTTAGCGTTAGGTTAGGTTAGTTTAACGTTAGGTTAGGTTAGCCTTAGGGTGGTTAAAATTAATATGCACTAGGCTAGGCTGTCTAATCTTCAGGTGATCCCAAAACTTCACTTTATGGTGATTAGTTCGAGAATGATGATCGCATGTATGCATGTATGTATATATGTATGTATGTCTGTATGATGAGCAGGGGAAGCAGGAGGCAGGGCAGAACTGGTGATGAGCCGGACAGGAGGTTGGTGTGCAGGGCCGCCGGTAACAGGCTGAAGGTGGGACAGGTGAGGAGGGACCCTTAGGATGTGTCGACCCCGCCCTGCCCATACCAGACCTTGAGCAGTAGTATAAAACCCTCGCCGCCACCACACTCTGGCAGACAGCTCCTCTCCTGCCCTCAACATGAACCCTCTGGTGAGTACAGCGCCTAACACAGTCACAGTCACATAGATTAGTCAGAAAGTAGAAGTGAAAGTTTTAGTTGTAGAATTAGGATCGTATTGTTCATTCAGTAATATACCAAAGTGTAGAATCGATATACAAAAGTTAACTCACAGTAGCACAAGCGCAGGGTCAGGTACAAGTACAGTACACAGTCCATACACTAAAGTTATGTTCTCTTAACCGTAGTTTGGTGAAAAAAGAAATCAACGTTGAAAACTCTGAAAGGCGAGTACAGTAATGAGTTCCTACATCGAGAGCTATACAATTCATTGCCTTAGAATAATTGAACAATTCTATAATTAAATAAGAAACAAATATAATTATTTACTTTAATTTGGTCCTGTTTACAGAGGAAAATAACCGCGCATACATGTATGTGCATGTACTCTATATCTCGTTAAATACTCAAAGTTATCATGACTGCCATCTTGTTTGTTTAAAACTTAAGTGAGACAGTTAGAAGCTTTCTCAACTTCCAATTATGAAGACATTTAAACCTAAGAAACATTGAGAATTCTACTTTGTGTCGTTGTATCTCACGGCTGTAGGAATTGTTAAGTACATGTGCTCTCTCTTTACCTCTACAGACTGTAGTGTGCATCGCGGCTGTGGCGGCCTGCAGCAGTGGGCAGCTGATTGGCTACCCAGGCATGTATGGCGCCTATCCGGGTCTCCTACGAGCAGCAACACCTATCACCCTGAAGTCTGGGACTCCCACACCCATCGCCTACAACATGGCCCCTTTCGCCCCTGTGATGCCCATCCAGACCCAACACCACTCTCAAGACGAATTTGGTCAGTACTCCTTCGGCTTCGCTGGCGGTCCTTCTTCCCGCGCTGAGACCCGTGACGCCTTCGGCATCGTCCGTGGATCTCACAACTACATAGACAGTGACGGCAAGGTGCAGACCCAGCACTATGTGGCCGATGCCCTTGGCTTCCGTGTGTCCGGCACCAACCTGCCCGTGGCACCAGAAGTCCCAGAGGCTGCTGCCCTGGCTGCCCCAGGTCCCCTCCCCGAGCCAGTCAAGGACACCGCTGAAGTCGCCGCCGCCAAGGTCGCCTTCAAGAGTGCTTATGATGAAGCCGCAGCAGCCTCCGCTGCTGCCCCCGATACCCGTGCGAAACGGTCTGTCCCGGCAGCAACCACTCACCTCACCCCCTACCCTAACATGCGCTTCTCTTATGGGTTCTCTGCTCCCCTGAACTACGCCAACCCCGCCATCTTTGGCTCCGCCATCACTCCTTACGCCGCTGGCATCCCCGCCATCAACCACGCCGCCAGCATCCCCTCCATCAACTACGCCGCCGGAATCCCCGCCATCAACTACGCCACCGGCATCAACGCCATCAACTACGCAGCCGGCATCCCTGCCATCACCTCCTACGCCGCCGGTATCCCCGCCATCACCACCTACGCCGCCCCCTCTACTGCTACCCCACTTGACGCTGAGATGCTCCGTGTGATCAACACCCCAAACCACGCTGTCTCCTACCGCGTCGACTAAGCCACTAAGTCAGGGTCCAGCTGTCTCCTACGCCGTGTTCCAGGTGTCGTAGAACTCCTGTCGTGGAGGTCGTGATGTATGGCTCACAATGTAATGACATCGAACCTTTGATTGATTACACAAATGTCTCCAGTAATCTCATCATGGAGAATTCGATGACAATAGTTGAGGTGACCATCACAACATCTACACCTCCACGGCTTGGTGTTGACGAGCCTCCGCGGTCTGTGTATATGTGTTCATGTTGACCTGAATCTTCACATTCCCTTGAAAATGTTAATAAATAAATATTGCAATGATGGTGTTGTTTATGTTGCTCCCAGTAACGTTATCGCCTTGCGGTCGTTTCTCACTATCCTCCTCCAGGCGGTGCTCCACGACTACCACTCGCCACACCTCACCAGTCACTCCTCTCTAAAGATGATTCTTACTCTTCAACTTGCTCCGTATTAGACATTATTTATGTGACAGTCACCTGGAGTTTCTGTTTCCACTTCACTCGAGGTTCATCTCTAAGTGGCTGCAGAAGAGTAGTGTGTACGAGAGTTGACAGTTCCTATTGTTATATCTGAATATTCAATTGGCAAAATAAGAGTGCACTTTATTTACTACCAATGGCAACCTTCTTAGTCATCTCTGTGTTAAATATACTTTTATATAAATATTTATCCCAAGACATTGAACATCGTACGATATAGTTGTGTATTCACGACTATACCGAATATGTATCTATACATATGTATCTCTTCTCTCTCTCTCAAACGTAATATTTTCCGCAAGTGAACGATTGAAAATTCATCTACTTGGGTAACTTCAGAGAATGGGCGCCACAATACAGGGCCTTGACCTTAACCTTAACCGGAGAGCTTTAATTTAACATCACCAAAGGCATAAAAATAAATTACAGGAAAATAGTGAATCTGGAAAAAAATGCCGATAAAAACTTAAAAACAGATCCTCTTACCATATAATGGACTTAGTATATATAGGTTTGATATAACGTTTCTAGTGTTTTTAATAGTATTTTATCTGGTGTGTTAAGGTCGTTTCACACCGGATGCTATACTAGTTACGAAGCTGATTTTCGGTCGCTGTGCTTACTTTGTGAGTGTTCACACCGGATAATATGAATGCCATGTATTTCGAGAGACACTCCCATTATCGTTGCATCAGTTGAGGTGGAAGTTGTGCACAGTGGTTTTATGAGGAAGAGGAGGAAATCTTACTACTGACTCTAGGAATGTCTAAGAAAAGACATTAGAAGTGGGTACATAAAACATATGTGAAAAGACCAAACTTTGGTGAATACCATCATCTTGTGTACAAGTTTTCAGTTGATGAAGAAATTTTGACAATATGTCACATTGCCCCTCGCTCAGTTTAGTGAAGTTCTATTAATAATTGAAAAGGATATCAAGAAACAAGATACGAACACGTCTCTGTAATTATCTGAAGTCATGTCATACAGCCTTAACAACATCAACCTAGAGAAGTCGACCTAGGGGTACGTGTAAGCCCGGACCTACGGCCTAGAAAACAGTGTGTTAATGTTCGAAATAAGGCAAACAGAGTATTGGGTTTTATATCTAGAAGTGTAAGTAACAAGAGTGCAGAGGTCTTATTGCAACTATATCTTGCGCTAGTGAGGCCGCACCTCGATTATGCGGTTCAGTTCTGGTGCTCCTAGTATAGAATGGATACAAATTCACTAGAGTCGGTGCAGCGAAGAATGACAAAAATGATTCCGGGACTTAGAAACCTTCCATATCAGGATAGGTTAAAGAAACTTAACTTGCGTTCCCTAGCAACTTTGTAGTAAGTGCGGGAACTCTGGAAAGTTTCAAAAGGAGGCTAGATAGATTCATGGACGATAGAGAGTGGTAGTAACTCTCGACAGGAGCTACCATGCACAGGCCAACCGGCCTATTGCAGACTCCTTATTTTCTTATGTTCTTATGTTCTTATATAAGCAAGAATGTTTCCTCACTTCTTCAATATGTTGCGCCATTGTCCACGTGCACTGATACACAAAGTAAATAGTAATATGGTTGGGATTGACCTTTATGCGTTATTTTATTCATTAGATCTTCCTGTATAAGGATACAGTCAAAACTATATCCTGTTGTGTGTAAGACTTTATCCCGTTATGTAGTTCTTTACCGTGATCGTCTTTCCTGTTCGACTAATTGGTTCCCTGAGGCTTTATCTTCCCATGCCCCCGACCTGCTCACGCCACCGACTCTTCATTGCAAACTCAGCTTACGCCGACATACACTCCTTACAAACTCAGCTTAGTGGAAGTTGGATACTTACTTGCTTAACAGGAAGAAAGGATCCCCGCTTAATGTGGAGTAAAGAAACAGCTTAATGGAGAATATTGAGGCAAGGTTGAACGCAGAGGAAGAAGGCCAGCTTAACAAAGTAAGGAATCCAGCTTAGCAGAGTCAGGAGGCCAACTTGATGGCAAGTAAGGAAGCAGCTTAATGGAGAATATTGAAACTAGCTTATCGGGGAGTAAGAAGGCCATCTTAACACCTGGGTAGAAGTCTACGGCACCTCTTGGCCGCCTGGCTGTTGACAGACCTCGTGTTGTTACCCACTGAAGGGCGGACGGCAGGAGGCAACAATTAGCCTTTGAAGTGGAGTAAAAACGAATATAAAATTGATAAGTGGATAAAACTTGATCTTTTTTTTTTTAGGGGGAAAAGATTTTTATTGGAAAGTTCTTGAAGATGAGGTGGTAGTAGTAGTAGTAGTAGTAGTGGTAGTAGAGGTCAAAATAACAAAGGATGGCCAAATAACTCTTGGTGCGGTAATTGGCACGAAAGACTTCAAGACCGAGTACGTAACGGGAAAGGTGAAAGAGTGGGTTAAGGAAATCCAAGCTCTGTCTGAGATTGCTAAAACAGAGCCACATGAAGCGGTTGCGGCATTCACCCATGGAGTCAAGCATTGCTGGAATTACCTGATGCGCACTATCCCTGATGTCGGACCCCTCCTCCGCCCCCTGGAAGAAGCCATCAATGTCGCTTTTAGCCCAACACTAGTGAAAAACCATTACTTAACCCCAGCAGAAAGGTCTCTCTTTGCACTACCACCGAGACAAGGAGGAATGGGATTGACTATTCTAGTGGAGCTTACCCGTACAGAACATCAGAACTCTGTCAAGCTCACGGTAGCTCTCACTGAGCACATAATAGATCAGAATGCAGCAAGTCAGGTGGATACCAACAATATTAAACAAGAATCGACGGTCCATTACGACAGAGCGGCAGCACACCCGAAGTGATAAACTGCAACAACTGTTGCAACAAGTGCCAGAGAACGTGAAAAGAAAAGTAGCTATAGAGCAGGAGGTGGGCGCCTGAAAATGGTTAACAACGTTACCAATAAGCGATAAAGGCTTCATCCTTAATAAACAAGAATTCACAGATGCCCTTGCCCTAAGGTACGGTAGGCAAGTAGAAGGTTTGCCCTCCCAATGCGTGTGCGGCTCATCTTATGATATCGACCTCGCCATGGCGTGCAAGAAAGGGTTTTTCGTATGCATGAGGCATGACGAAGTAAGGGATCTAACAGCAAATCTACTGAGGGAAATCTGCCACACCGTCATGGTGGAACCGCCCCTCCTTTCAGTGGAAGGTGAGAACCTCCGTCACAGGACTCGAAACACATCCAACGAAGCCCGTCAGTGCTCGAGGATTCTGGACGTGGGGACAGCGACCCTTCTTTGACATAAGGATTTTCGACACCATGGCCGCATGCCACCGTAACCTAGCTCTCGATGCTGCACACAAGGGGAACGAGAATGACAAGAACAGGGCGTTATGGGAAAGAATTCAGAATGTTGATCAAGGCGGCTTCATTCCTCTGGTGTCCACAACTTTTGGCGGGATGGGATCAATTGCAAGATGTTTCTATGCAAGACTGGCCGAGATGTTATCTGAACAGAAGCAGCAGCCCAGAAGTTACATTGCAGCTTGGTTGAGATGTAGGCTGTCCTTCTCTCTCCTTAGGTCTGTGGCTCAACTAACTCAACACAGCTAGGATAGCTACTTTTGTATTAGGATAATTAATTTTAAGGTAATAAAATGGCGGTGAAGGTGTGGCTATTGGGGTAAGCTGGAGGCCACGTTTTTGAAAAAGTAGTAGTAGTAGTAGTAGGTTTCCAGGGTGACTATATCCCACCAAATGCTGTCCTGTTCGAGAAAATAAGAGGAGAAATGGTGTGGAAAAAGGCACTGAAGACTCGAGGAGGAGCCGGCCCTTCAGGTCTGGATGCAAACGGTTGGAGAGTCATCCTCAGCATAAACAAGTTTGGCCCTGTAGCAAGTGATCTCTGCACTGCCATTGCCGTCCTTGCAAGAAAGCTGGCATCCTCTTGCTGCCATCACCTCCATGCTCTGACGGCCTGCCGCCTTATTCCCTTGGATAAGAATCCAGGATGTAGGCCTATGGGGGTGGGGGAAGTGCTGAGGCGGATCATCGGAAAATGCATACTGGAGGTGGTAAAGGATGATGTCAGGGCAGCAGCAGGGAACCTGTAAGTGTGTGCTGGCCACCAGGCTGGCGGGGAAGCCGCCATTCACGCCATGAGATTGATATTTGAGCAGGGTGATTGTGAGGCCGTTCTCCTGGTGGATGCTTCAAACGCATTCAACATACTTAACCGCAAGGCCGCACTGCACAACATCAAGATCAAGTGTCCAAGCTTTGCAATGTATGTTGAAAACTCATATAGGAATCCATCAGACCTCTATATAGTAAACAATAAGGCTCCAAGAGGTGATACCATCTTCCAGTCAACCGAGGGAACAACACAGGGGGACCCTGTTGCAACGGCAATGTACGCAATAGGCCTATCAGTGCTCCAACACGAAATAAAATTTGAAACAACTGAGATCAAACAAGTGGCGTACGCTGATGACCTTACAGGAGGAGGAAAAGTGTAGGACATCAAAAAGTGGTGGGACTTGGTAACATTGCGAGGTCCACAAATAGGGTACTACCCAAACGCCAGCAAGTCCTTCCTCATTGTGAAGCCAGAACATTATGAACGGGCAATGGAGGTGTTTGGAGGAAGTGAGGTCAAAATAACAAAGGATGGCCAAAGACATCTAGGCGCAGTAATTGGCTCTATGGACTTCAAGACCGAGTACGTAGCGGGAAAGGTGAATGAGTGGGTTAGGGAAATCCAAGCTCTGTCTGAGATTGCTAATACAGAGCCACATGCGGCTTTTGCGGCATTCACCCATTTAGTCAAGCATCGCTGGACCTACCTGATGCGTACTATCCCTGA